TTAAGTGGGAGAACTTGCACAATTGGTGGCTGACTAAATACTTTTTTGCTCCACTGTATACAGTGACGTAACTACAGAATAGAAACTCTCTCTAGAAATTAGATCTTTTAGGCAGGCTACCATAACCTCCTGCTTTTTTATCAAATATTTTCCTTTCAGTCTGCTTAAACAATACTCAAGTTTTTGGCAACGCTATCTGTAATCAACTTCATCTTGCATTCTACTGGCAGAGATAGAACTATCCACATTGATTAATACTGACAGCATGGGGTCTTATTAATTTAATTGACACACAGATCAAACCTTGGCAGGTGGTAGATTTTTCTTCATATACAAAACATAGGTGAGTTCACATTCACAAATAACTTAATAAAATGATATAATTGCATTTTTATAATGTTGTTCCTGATCTTTGTTACACTAATGGAATTAACTTTGGCATGTTTATATTATAAAACAAATCACATATTATTTAGATACTAAGAAATAATGTGCAATTCTGAGTGCAAATATTGTTGCAACTGAAAAATAGCAAACTTATAGGCTGTGTGGTTCAAGTTGGTGCCTTCTTCCACATTTTGATTCCTCTTCTGCAAATTTCCCAGATTTGTTTCCTAACAAAATTGTGGCAGAAGTTTTGTACATACTTATCAAGAAACACAAGAAATGTTTGAATACATAAAGAACTTTCACCTTTGTTTTATTCCAGTGATGCTATAAAGCATGCTGGCTGGGGAATTCTGGGAGTTGAAGTCACACAGCTTCAAGTTGCCAAGGTTGAGAAACACTGCTGTAAAGGTTCTTAAAACACTGAGGAGATGCTAAGCCTCATGTGAAAACAGTTTTCTGTATATTGAGAAGCAGATGTTATGTCTATGCAACTGCTCTGTCAGTGTAACAGTTGGAACAGCTTCTTCTCCAGTAATGAAAGAGTACAGAGAGGAGAAGGGCTTTATTTCCTGTCAATTTTTAAACAATATGATCTTAGTTCCCAAACAACAGTGTTTTCAAATGATTTATTTATTTATCAAGTTACTTGGCTCACTGAGAACAATCACGTACAATACAGCAAATTTTTTTGACACTAAGTGTTTCCCTGGGTATTTTGTGGGGAAATTAATGGATGACTGAAACAATAAACACCTATGGAGAAGGAAATAATGTAAGCTTATCTCACTAAGAAGAAACTTCTGATACTGCTGGTGAATTTTTGCTTCCTACTAGGATCATGTTTCTTACCTGTCTAAGTTTACTCTGGGCTGATGAGAAATGAGCACAGGTGTATGAATTACCATTTCCCCATTGCGTGGAGTTTCTGCCATGCACTGAACCTGAGAACCCATCACAGGGCTTAATGGAGATGTAGGGCTGCTCACTGGTAGGAGAAGAAAAGAGTGGAAAAAATGGTCTGTAAAAGCATACTTATTTAATTAATGTAACAGAGTGGAGAACATAATATTCCATAGAGAAGCAGCTTCTCAAACTCTGTTCCCCTCTATGTTCCCTCTCCTATGCGGGGCAGCTAGCTGTAAGTAGTCATCAGAAGTATAATGCATCCTTCCCATTCTGAGTAATAGTCTTTTGGAGAGTACCTGCACGCAACTCTAAATTCAGTGTTTGGTATCCCTGGGGAGAAATAGGAAGGCATCTTGGGCAGATGCTGCCTGCCACTAGAGATAATAGTGAATCAGATGGATTAATAGTTTGACCCACTGTAAAGCAATTTCCTATGCTTATTTCTTAGTACAAAATGATGCTAAGGCAAGAATAGAGAGAAATTTCAGGGATCTGGTTCTACCTGAATTCTGAAAAGTTGATTCCCTTTTAGTATTAATGAAAAATGCAATACCCAACTAATAACAGCTTCATTCTATAATAGCCTAGTATAAAATATTTCCTTTTATACCTTGTTTGCTCAGAAATCAGAACAGATAAAATGTGACCTGACGTTTAAATTGTTTAATAAAATGAACTAAGGATTTTATTATAGTAGCATAATTATACACAAAACTGTTTAATCTAGGACAAATAAAGATCAGAAAACGATATAACTGAGTATTTTGTCTGCAATGATTAAAAGTGACCCAACTGATGATCTAGAATTTGATTAATCACTTAAAAATTAATCACAGCCCTAATATGTTTCATTTTATATATAATTATACTTACAACAGAATATTATGCCATTACAAGGATTCAAATGTCAAACCACTGACATTTCAGTAAATACAACTGGATTATTAATGTTTAAATGATTTATTACTTAATTCTTTCTTACCCATGCTCTGAGTAATGTTAACTTTCAATGTTAAACTAAATGCACATCAAAAGTAATACCTATTTCTTTTGCTATCACTCCATTCTGCTGGTCATCTGATTTCTGCAAAATAAATAAGATTTTATTCAAGTATCTATGCTAGAAGAATAAATATATAGAAAATATACTTCTGAAAAAGGAGAAAATTCCATACATACCTTCTCTGCAGGTTCTGTTCGCCTAGTTCTTTTCATAATTTCCTCAAGACGCTACACAATGAAGGAAAAGAGTTTTTATAATGAACATCTTCCAGTTTATCTATAGTTTATTGTATTTATTTTACAGTTTTTTTATATCCCCAATCAAAAAACTCTGGGCAAGTTACAACATGCTAAGGATATAAAAAATAATAATCCCCCAAGATGGATGCTGATAACTGTTATTTTCAATTATCTTCTAAATACCATGAGGGAAAACTATTTATAAATATTTGGGGCTAAAGAGTTCCAAAGTGTGGGGGGCTGCTACAAAGAAGGACTGTCATCTTATCCCTGTTCCCTTAACTTCAAATAGAGGAGGGATTCTTAACAGGCCTTTCTAAGATGTTTTCATTAGATGAGCAGATTCAAACACATCGATTATGAACACATTATGGGCAATACCAAATTCATCTCTAGTATATGCTACAGTTACTTCACCACTGCCACCACTTCCTCCTCCAGCTGTTAGAGAAGGAGGTGGCCTTCAACAAGCTTTTACAAAATGAGCTACTCATCCTCCTTCAGCTGGAGAAGGAAGCATCAAAGTAGTAGCATAAGTAATCAGAGAACAAATGAATAACACTCTCTTTGCAAGCTTCCTGCAATCCCTGCCTTTCAAAAATCAGATCAATTTACTTTCGTTCCCTCCCTTCTCCAATCCATTATTGCCTTCTCCACTTTATGTAAACCTTTTTTATTCCCAAACATGTGAGAAAAAGAAGTGAAGAAGAAGAAGAGAGGAGGGAAAAGAGAAGAGGTGGCAATGGAATATAACAGCCTATATTGGTATGTACATTAATAAAGAGACAACTCAAAGCTTATCCATAGCATCATGAAACCCTTTTGGGGTGTTCTTCTCATAAGCTTCTGATCATACACAAAAGGAGGGGGGCGTGGCAGGTTGCTGTCTACAGGTTATAGGGAAGGAGACACTCATGTAGGATGAGGCTCTTCCCATATTTGGAAGCTTGGTTGCAGTGGGTTCTAAATCAGAAGAAAAGACTCCCCTTTATAGATACTCTGTTGGGTGAGTATGTGCAAAAATCCAACGGTGGCATTATAGGCAGCAAAAGTAATTGTGATTTCAATTGCATGGAAGAGAATGCTCCCAAAGGGTTTGTAAGTCTACCTTAGCCCCAAAGTAAGACCACAAAAGTGAAATCACTGGGTGGTTCACTTGCCACATGAAAATACCTATCCTGTTGTCTGCAAGAGCTGATTTCTATTACCTTCTTCCTTTCTAAGCGCTCTTGTCCTTCTCTTTGGAAATGCTTTTCACGCTCCTGTCGAATCTGGTCTTCTCGTAACCGAGTCTCCTCTTCCTTCTAAATTATGGCACCACACAGGAAAATATGGGCTTCATAGTATTTGATCGTATTATGGTTATCAATATATTTTATTTAATTACTCTCAATTTTGTTTTCAATTGCTGCAATCCCAGAAGAACAGGCTAAGAGGCTGTATAGTCCCACCACAGTTGCAAAAGTTATCTTTTGTATCCAAAGAGCAGCTCCTTTTACAATTGCAAATGAACCTACAATTTAATTACTTCTCTGTACTGCAAACACATTTTTAAAAGGTGATGGGATTCTAAATGAAATACTGTGTATTTATGTACCCTCACTCCATAACATTAAAATACCAGTGTTTCTTGAATGTTTCAACAATCACTAACCTTTCTGATTCCACATAATTATTGCCTCTACTGTTACTGTTCATGGCTTTATTTAAGGTAAAAGTTAAGCGCTCCCTTTTCTATCTCTATTTTGCATGATATATTAGGGAAGTATGTACTGTAGGTTTAAGGCCCAAATCACAAATATTAATGGTATTTTTGTGGCTAACCTGCAGGATACATTAACATGCAAAGTGCAGCAGCAGCTGGGAAGGCTCATAATTAACAGGATCAGAACAGGCATGAAGAGGGAAATTAATGCTTTCCTACTCTTATTGCAATCCTGATAAAAATTCCTCTTCTGAAAAAACTTGGGGGGCAGGAATTTCATGAATGTCATTTGCATTTAAAAACAGCATGCAAATTAGATCCAAAAGCACATTCAACTCCAGAAAGAGTTGGTCCTAAATAGATAGGCAGAAGGAAGGAAATGCTGTATAGCTTAGTTGCAAAGCTTTTTTTTTTTTTTTTTACATTGTCGTAATTTCGAACAATCGCTAAATGAAGCAGTCAGTAAGCAAGGACTACTGTACTCTGTTCTCATAGTCCACATTAAAAATGAAGAAACTGGAATGAGCCAGAGTGGGAGATGGGACGAGCCTGTGGTAAATTTAGTGATCTCAGTAGATGTAGACTGATTCCAACCCAATGGCTGAAAGCCAGAAAAGCCTGCTTTATTTCTAAAGTATGTCTGCATACACATATCTGGTCTATGTGCTGAACATACCTGAACCACATCAAAGCTAGTCTTATAAATGAGCAACTTAATCATAACTGGTTTGGCCAAATGTTTTGGTGGATATCAGGGTATCACAACCAAATCAGGCATGCCTATTCACACCTGGCTAAGGCCCAGCTGCAATACATCAATCAGCAACAAAGCAACAGTTTTAATAGTTAATTAACTGACTTATTCATGAATCTGTCTAAGCCAAAAAGCAACCAAATCCAGCTATGTTAGCATGACCTGCAGTGGGAATAAAGAAGGGACTAGAGAACTCAGTGCTTCTGTTCTGCTAATTCTAATATAGGTCCCTCTGTCTTCTTCCTCTTACACTGGCAGAGGGACTTACTATATTAGAATAAGCAGAACAGCAGCACTGAGTTCCAGGGAAAACCAGTCTTTTTTAAGGGTGCTTTGGGTCCAGTAGTGTCAAGATGGCAATTGTAAGAGTGTGAAGTCCCACAGCTTTCTCCAGGTGTGAGACATCAATGCATATACAGAATGGATGGTGCTTCAACCATGGAGCCATGACTGCCATCTAAACTTTTTCACTTCCTCCCTCCCCACAGATATCACTGTTCGCATCTCCTTGCTTTCCTTTATGCACTTCCATAGAATCAATGAACTGCATAAACATAGTTTAGCCATTTGTAAAATACACAATCTGAAAAACCACTGGTATTTACACTACCTGCTTCTGAAGGAGTTCCATTTCCTTCCTTTCTTTCTCTTCCTTTTCTTCAGCCAAGCGGCGTAACTGTTCTTCCTTCTCCTGTTCCTGTTCTGCTTCTTTCTGCTTCCTTTCTGCCTCCTGCTTCTGAGCTTCCTCCTCTCGGCGTGCTCTTTCTTCAGCTATCTTCTGTGCCAAGGCCTCCTTCTTTTGTCTAATGGAAACAATAGTGTGTGTCAGACAAATGCACTGGTAGGTAAAACTGGCAAAAAATAAACAAATAAAACATCTGTTTTAGCATGCCAGATCACCGCTGCCTCCAAAATGAATAAATAATACATAAAGAACAGAAAAAGGAGGAAATGCTTCCTCTTCTCAATCTACCTGAAGTGAGTTGAAGAAGATTATGCTTGGATTAATTGGAACATTTCCTTAAACAGAATCATAAGAAATTTGAATTTTTCTTGGTGCCCGAAACCAAATTAAAGTATTCCTGATGGAAGGATACTTAAGACTGTGTGCTTGAACAAGTCTAACAAGATCCATTATGTTACAGGGGCTAAGGTATTCGACCAGGAACAGGAAGATCCATGTTCTAGTCTTCCTTCAGCCATAGAAGTTCAGTGGCTGACTTGGGGCCAGTCACTCTCTCAGCCCAACTTTCCTCACAGAGTTGCTGTTGTGGGAAAAAATAGGAGAAAGAATGTTTAAGTACTCCACCTTAAGCTCTTGAACAAAGGTGGGATACAAATCACATAACTAAATAAGTGGAGCCTGGGTTATTGGTTTTACTTGTTTCTCTAGAAACAGAGAGAACCTATTCATCTAGAGAGTGTGAATAAGAGACAGTTCATATTTCTAATATTACTACACCATTTTAGAATGCAGGTGGCACAAACCTGGAGATACTGCTGCAAGGGTTTATAGAATAAGTCCCCCGTGCATTTTGTTGTGCTCAGAGCAACCGAAGAGGCACTAGAGTGGCTTTTTTTAACAAGATGGCCCTCCAGCATTTTGAAACACAACTTCTATCTCCCAAATGAACATGGCTGATGGGTGGAAACAATGGGAGTTTACCTCAGTACAACTGGATAACAATAGGAATGATGCTGGCCTTTTGAACATCTGAATCATATAGTTCAATTACCACATTAGTATAATCTCTATTTGTAGAGGGCAGAGGGAATGGCCCTGAAGAACAGAAGGAAGAGCCACTACCAAGACAATGGTCAGATAAACAGGGCTTGAACCCAGGCCAAGAAAATAACTCAAGAAAATGTCTCAGACAAGTTCCTCCCTAGTTCACATGAAGATAAAGGGAGGGATGAAGTACATTCAGATTTTCAAGATTCTGTTACAATAAAAGCAGTCCTGACCTATATGGCATTGGTTACTTAGTCTAAGTCTACCTTGTCAGGCTGACACTATTCCAGAGAGAGCCACCTTTAGCAGCCTGCTTCTGCTGTAACATATGAACACTAGCATTAATCATGGAGATGAATAGAATATAAGCTTTATACAAAGTATGTTATGCTTCATTTGTTTTCTAATTTGAATCCATAGTGTGTTCAAAGAAGATAGCCAAAAGTGCATTTTCTCCCTTGGGCAACTGAGTTGAGCACCTTTCAATCTCTTCCTGCTGCCTTCTTTGCTGCTCCTCCCGTTCTCGTTGTTCTCGGGCGAGTCGCCTTTTTTCGCTAAGCAACCGGGTTGCTTCCTCTGGATCTGTTGTCCCTGCTGAAGATTTGCTACAGATGGGGGACAGTGAAGCAGCTGAAGGAGCAGAGGGCAGAACTGGAACAGGACCTAAAGCAGGAAGGAAGGAAGAGTCAGCTCTGCAAGATTTACAGAGTTACTGGAGTTGAGGTCTTTTGAAAAAGACATTTATGCAACATCTGAAAAAGGAAAATTGTAAAATACAAAGATAACATTTACTAGCTGAGGTTGAGAAGTGGATGGGGTCAGAGCAAACAAGTATAGAAGACCTGGGCCAAAAATTACAATTGATGGAACTTAATTTTATTTAAGTTGTATTTATTTATTTATGAGATTTATATGCCCACCCATTTTATATACAATAAACCTGGGTGGCTCACAAAAATAGGAGCAAAAACATAAAAGCGAACAATAAAAACAACATCAAAAAAACTCCTGGCACCCCAGAACAACACTCCCCCATACATTGACATTTATATTTACTGGGCTCCAGTCTCACTCCAGGTCAAATGCTTGAGGGAAGAGCCAACTTTCCAAGACCTTCCTGAAAGCTAGAAGGGTAGGGGCCTGCCAGATCTTGTGGGAGGTTGTTCCACAGGGCAGAGGCTGCTACAAAGAAGGTGAACTTCCTAGGTCCTGCCAGATGACATTTAAGAGAGAGACCTGGAGTGAACCTACCCTGTCAATTTATTAGCCATGAAAGCAAACA